GATGGATATTTTCCACTGGTTATGTGATTTATTTTATGAGTGTAGTGCTGTGACGCGGTCATATTTATCGATAATCCTTTAATCAATAGAAAATAAATTCAAAATAATGGATTGTCATCTAGTATATTTGAAAAATCAAAAAACATCGCCATTGATGCCTTTGCAAAAAAAAAAGATTTTGTTTACTCTACACGCTCAAAATTCGCCCTTTTCGAAAACAAATGCTCAGAGGGGTCCTAGGTTGCAATCCTTGGAAGAAGTTTCAGAGCCGCTAGAACCTGGAACTAGAACCGTGTCGATGAATATTAACATCAAACATCAAACCGATAACAAATTTTGATTACCGTTGATATCGGATTTATAAATATCAATAAGTATTGATAATTTAGACGCGACCCCCCTTCCCCGTCTATAATTTAACATATTCAAAATAAAAACCGTCGAGTACCTACTTTTTTAAAGTTTAAAGCCTTGTTCAGACTAAAGAGACTGAATTGGGTAAAGAGACGACATCTTATCCATTTGACAGGTCTTCTGCTCGATTGGAATAACTTTTCCTATGACTTTGACAAATAATCGATTTTTCGAATTTTGACATGTCGTCTCTTTATAAAGTCAGCCTCTTTACACAGCAAAAAAATGTAATATCGATCAATGTTGATGTATGAAATAATGATGTAATAGCAAAAATCAGATACAATATCACATCAATGGATGTAATTTTGTTCGCAAAATCGATGTACATCGTACAACGTTATATTACACAACCGATGGATTGACCTGGTTGCAGCAGTTTGGATGTAATATTCAACAATTTTTTTTCTGTGTAGTTCAGTGCATAACATGTTATACAAAACAACAAAACTGTAATATCGATCAACGTAATTCAACACAGAAAAAAGTTGTTGAATATTACATCCAAATAGCTGCACAGATATCATTCCGCCGGTTGTGTAATATTACGTTGTACGATGTACATCGATTTTGCGAACAAAATTACATCCATTGATGTAATATTGTATCTGCTTTTTGCTATTGCATCAATATTTCATACATCAGCTTGAATGACGTTTATCGATATTAAATTGTTTTTTGCTGTGAAGCTGATGTATGAAATAATGATGTAATAGCAAAAAAGCAGATACAGTATTACATCAATGGATGTAATTTTGTTAGCAAAATCGATGTACATCGTATAACGTAATATTACACAACCAGTGAAATGATATCTGTGCAGCTATTTGGATGTAATATTCAACAATTTTTTTTGGGTACACAGTAAAAAAGAAATGTAATATCAATTAACGTAATCCAAGCTGATGTATGAAATAATGATGTAATAGCAAAAAGTAGATACAATATTACATCAATGGATGTAATTTTGTTCGCAAAATCGATGTACATCGTACAACGTACACAGCAAAAAAAATGTAATATCGATCAACGTAATTCAAGCTGATGTATGAAATAATGATGTAATAGCAAAAAGCAGATACAATATTACATCAATGGATGTAATTTTGTTCGCAAAATCGATGTACATCGTACAACGTTATATTACACAACCGATGGATTTACCTGGTTCCAGCAGTTTGGTGTAATATTCAAAAACTTTTTTTTTCTGTGTATGATATTACACAACTGGCGGAATGATCTCTATGCAGCTGTTTGGATGAAATATTCAACAACATTTTTTCTTCTGTGTAGCGCTATTTTGATGGTGGTTTCTGTGTGGCAATTATTTGTCAACCATTATAACATGCTATAACCAACAATCGATACGAAACTATCGATTTGAAATTGACTCACTACTTGACTAGCCTATTGGTCTCAAGCAAATCGATTAACGTACCCCATTCTAGTCAAAATTCTAGTACTGCACAATCTTTGTTTTGATTCGCTATGAAAGTTTTACAGATAAAATGAGGGGTTAGTGAATTTCCTACACTAATAAAAAAATCAATGATTACTTGTATGTGTCCCACACATGTATTTTCGCAATGTGATAAACAAATGATATATGTGTGTCGGACACATAGTTCTTATGTGTACACATACAATTCATGTGTAACCACACATACTATTCATTTGACTCATAAATTTCATGTGTGCTTCTGGGTAGATTCTGTTTATGTGTGAACACTTGAAAATCATGTGGAATTTTACATGGAAATTCGCCAATAAAAATGTATCGAATTTTATGAGTGTATGTTTCGAGGGCTGAATCGATTAGCTTGGGACCGAAGATAGTACCAGAGCTGAGCCAAAAAGTAGAGCTCGTTTCTTCCGGACCTACTAGTTTTAAACGCTGTTCAGACTGGAGAGTTATAACAACAATCAATACGAAGCTATCGAATCTAAATTGGCTCACTACTTGACTAGCCTATTGGTCCCAAGCAAACGATTAACGTATCCCATTCTAGTATTAATTCCAGTACTACACTATGTTTGTTTTGATTCGCTATGAAAGTTTGACAGATAAAATGAGGAATTATTGGATTTTCCTAGGTTTCGAGGGGTGAACCGATTAGTTTGGGACCGAAGATAGTACCATAGCTGAGCCAAAAAGTTGAGCTCGTTTCTTCGGGACCTTCTGGTCTTAGAGTTACCTCTATGGTTATAACATGTTATAACGGTTGTCAAATAATTGCAACACAGAAACCACCATCAAGATAGCGCTATAACATGTTATAACTCTGTAGTCTGAACAAGGCATAATACCCCGTTCACATTACAGCGTATATCACGTGATATACAGTGTCTTGCAATGAGCACTCATACATCTAGTTTTCACTGGAAATCCTATGTATGAGTGCTCATGGCAAGACAGCCTATATTACGTGATATAGACTGTACTGTGAACGGGGTATAATAGTACGTTCAGACTACAGAGTTATAACATGTTATAGCGCTATCTTGATGGTGGTTTCTGTGTTGCAATTATTTGACAACCGTTATAACATGTTATAACTCTCCAGTCAGGACAGCGTTTAAGACTAGTAGGTTCCGAAGAAACGTGCTCAATTTTTTGGCTCAGCTATGGTACTATCTTCGGTCCCAAGCTAATCGATTCACCCCTCGAAACCTAGGAAAATCCAATAACCCCTCATTTTATCGGTCAAACTTTCATAGCGAATCAAAACAAACATTGTGTAGTCTAGAGTTTTGACTAGAATGGGGACGTTAATCGATTTGCTTGGGACCAATAGGCTAGTCAAGAAGTGAGCCAATTTAAAATCGTTAGTTTCCACCGGTTGTTGTAACTCTGTAGTCTGAACGTACTATAACCATATAGGTAACTCTAAGACCAGAAGGTCCCGAAGAAACGAGCTTAACTTTTTGGCTCAGCTCTGGTACTATCTTCGGTCCCAAGCTAATCGATTCACCCCTCGAAACATAGGAAAAATAACTAACCCCTCATTTTATCTGTCAAACTTTCATAGCGAATCAAAACAAACAGTGTGTAGTACTGGAATTTATACTAGAATGGGGTACGTTAGTCGCTTGGTTGGGACCAATAGGCTAGTCAAGTAGTGAGCCAATTTGAAATCGTTAGTTTCGTATTGGTTGTTACTATAACGAAAGCAAAAACACACGATTGAAAATTAAAATACATCCATTTTGTGCACAAGATTTAGTGATGACATTGTTTTACCTGCATTTTCAAACTTTACTTTGTTACGTAACGCAAAGCTTTACTTTCCCTTCCCTATGGAACAATGTGTAATATTTGAACGGGTCTTAAATACGTTAACTAAATGACGCTTCAATAAAACCATGTATTTTCACGATAGTGCTATATGAATACTCTTAATACAATTGGCACCGTCTAATTCCGCTCTATTTGTCGAAATTTGGTGCCACATTGTGTCATTTTTAACTAAATCTAAATTCACCATAGTTCTATGTTTTTGCGTTAGACGTTAGGTATACTGAATTAACTCATTTTAAGGTACACAAAACTTATGTTTTCTGGGTTTAATGCACCGAAAAAAGAATTTTTGTTTTAGTTTTAGTTTTTTTTTTGTAATTATTCAAACATTTATTACAGATTTCACACCGCACTCGACTCCTACGTATATGTAAACAGTAGTATTTTCGCACTGGTCTTAAATTTGTATATTGAACTGCTTAAAGTTTTCTAGGGCTAGAATTAAGTAGTGTAGCTTGCCATTACTGTTCTAAAGCTGCTACTACTGTTAAATGAGTAGATTTTGCAGTTTCCTGGCCTGTGCAAAAACATTACTGTGCAATTATTTTTCTCGTGCAAAATGAGCAATAATCAGTAGTTATAGTTTTTTTTTTTAATTATTAAAAAGAATTGACATTTGAATCGATTTGATGTCAGAATCTGCTTCCTTTGATCTCCGGAGAACGCTGATTATACCGGAAGTGCTCTTCGGCCACGAGATATCTACACACTAAGAAAAAATCATGTAAATTTAGGTGCTCTGAGACTAACATATACGAGCGTCAATAAATTGACATAAAATCGAGTCATAACAGATGCGCAATTCAACTCAATCAAACGTACTTTTCGTGGAGTAAAGAACTTTTCAGTGTCGGAGCACTTAATTTTACATGACATAATTATTTACGTCTGATCCTTTATGTCAAAGATGGATTCCGTTACGTGTAAAATTAGTTATTTCTAAGTGTGTATTTTTTTTTCAACATATTCAGTATTTTTTATTAAAAACATAATGTTTATTCTTCAAAAAAACGTCAATGAATATTGGAGAAGGGGCCCTGGTCAGCCGTACGACGTATCTTAGTCGCGATGCTCTCACAAGAGCGCTGGACGGCACTGAAATCATTCTCATTTTTTATTGAACACCCGTTAAAATTTGGTATCTTCATGCTGGATTTTTTTGCTGGAAATTCCAACTCGAAAAAAAAAATGTTTAGATTTTATTTTTAATTTATTGGTTGTCATAGCTAACTTTTTTTGGTGCACCCTAGTTTGAATTGCTACAATAAAAAAAATAATAAACATTCAGATTTTCAGCGAGCGAGCAATGGAAAAAGGATGGGTTTTAATTGCCGAGAAGCCATTTTTTATAACGACCGAATCGAAACTCGTAGCGAATACAACGAATGAAAACAGCACCATCGTTATGGACACGAAAGCGGATCCAAAGCATGCTGCATCAAAATCGACTAAACGAAATATTTTTATGCTTAAGCGTCTGAATGTACGAGATGGCTCACATGGTTATTTTCGACACATCGCACTTATTCCTGCTGAAACGAAAAAGCCAATCATTTTAACATTTGGACGGTACGAAGTAACTGAAATCTTAGGATATGATATGCAAGAAGAATTTATCTACTTCATGGCTTCCCCGGAGCGGAAGCCTGGTCAACGTCACTTATACAGAGCTAACTTAACCCTATTTGAAAGTATAGAGCTCATGAGCATGAACGCAAAGAACGTAATGGTAAACTGTATATCTTGTGAGGACAGCCACTACGATTCATTCAGCTATTTTAAGTCACAAAACGACACGAGCACACATTTTCATATTCCGAATAATTGCTTGTACAATAAAGTTTATTTCAACTTTGATTATACATATTACGTTCAAGAATGCTTAGGTCCAGAGTCACCATCTTCATACATCGTGAACACGATTTCGGGGAAGAAAATATTTATTTTAGACAATGGAAACCATCTTCGAGATATGTTAATTGAATTTGCTAAACCCCAAATAATGACATTCAGTGTTCAAATAAAATATGATTTCAACGCACAAGTCAAACTGTTCCTCCCACCGGGTATTAAGGAAGACGACGACATGCTGCTCCCGCTGATATTACAAGTGTATGTTTGTTTTCAAACAAAGTTTAATTTGAATATACTATATATATATATATAACTTTCTTATATAACTTTCAGGGATGCTGCTCCAGAATCACAGCTTGTTTCGGAAAGATATAATTTCGATTGGAACTGGTATTTGTGTAGCTATCAGTCTTATATTATTGCTCAAATTGATGCAAGGGGATCTGGTTTTCAAGGAGAAGCTCTTAAGACCCAAATACGTGGTAGAGTTGGAATAGAAGTAGAAGATCAGCTGTCTGTTTTAACGTGAGTAGATAATATAGCGTTCAGAATCATAAGGGCCTAACTATCTTCATCGATTTTCTCTTTTGTTAATATATCGGCTGGTTTAATATTTCACGGTTCGTTTGCTGCTAATATAACGTTTCATTACGTATTGGAATAATTTGGAAAATTTGGTCCACTTAAATGTGGTAATGCGAAGAGAAAATCGATGATGATAATCGATCATTGCAGTTAGGCTGTTATGATTCTGAACGCTAGAGATATTGATGAACTATCAATAAGTAAAGTAAGTAAGGTTATATATATATTTACAAAAAAAATACATCTCAAAGTCTAAATGTTTAAAAAATACTGATGCAAAATTTGAAATTTTCGCTCCTCAGTGGTCAAACGGTTTGAAATCGGGTCCTGATTAGCCTCCGAAAGTTTAAACTCATTTGATAAGAAACTGACTTGGCACAGACCATTTTAAGTTTATATGGTAATTACTATGGGAAAACAAAACTTTTTGTTCATTGTCTTCTAGCCTTTTTACATATTGTACCGTTAAAAAATTCTTTTGCTATTTTTATCAACTACAACTTTGCAGAAAATCATTTTTCAGTCAAATTAAATAGTTATTAATTATAGTTGAAGATGCTAATTTCAAATAACAGACTGTAGTGGTAATTTTTATACGATTGATGGAGTAGATGAAAGTATAGAGTTGATAGTTCCGTTAGAGTACGGCAGTGTGAAAAGTGCATATAGATAGTAGAATAGCGAGCTAGGACAACTTTTAAGGAAGGTACAAATCGGTTTTTTCATCTCTCTTTACCAAACTCCCCCTTTGGAGAGGGATGGTGAGGGGTGTCCCCCCCCCCCCCAACCACTACCAAATAATGACTACAAAGTAAGCATTTTCGAGGGAGACTGGCACTACCCATTAAATGAGTAAAAATATTACCCATATATGAGTATCTGTTATTCAAAAATGAATACTTACTACTTGTTTTTGTAGTTGTAATTACTCATAAATGGGTAAAGTTTTACTCGTTTAATGCGTAGTCCCAGTTTCCCTCGAAAATGCTTACTTTGTAGTCATTATTGGGTACTTTGCGGTTACCGTGCATTCTGCATAATCATAAGACATCAGTGACTTGAAAATCATTAATAATTCTTGTTTCTTACATTTGATCGAAAAGAGGTCTTCAACAAAGTTGTAGCTGAGAAAATTTTAAACAAGTTCAGCTATCATTTTCTAAAGTAGAGTGAACTGATAAATTTTGAGATAGATACAAACCGAAATTATGGTTTCTCCATAGTACTTCCCATATAAACTTCAAATGGTTTGTGTCAAATCAGTTTCAAACTCAATGAGTTCATATTTTGGGAGGCTAATCAGGGCCCAACTTGGAACCGTTTGAGCATTGTGGAGCGAAAATTTCAAATTTTGCATCAGTCTAATGTACATTCAGGTCTTTGATGAAGAAAAAATAGGTGTTGAAAAATGCTTAACGAGTTCCCGAAAATAATACAATTTATCGATTTATTTTTAAACACGCAATCCGTACAAGGCAAATACAGCCAATCAGAGAGAAAATATGTACTCAATTTTGCTTGTTGCTAAGCATAGCATAGCATAGCATAGCATAGCATATGCGATTGCACAAATCGTAGGTGGATATATAATGATCAGCTCATATATTCCGCAAAAACATAATATGTTGTCGCAAAAAGGATACTTGGGATTAATATCCTTTTCCCATACCATGCAATCTGCAAAACAAACCTCGCATTGTATACCTGGCTACGTCCTTACAATCGCAGGGGAAAGGTAGGAATGTTAGTTCAACATCTACTTAAGAAGGTGCAGGGAACCCATACTACCTTCATAGACGTTACAGGAAATGGAAATCTTGTTAGTAGGGGAAGGGGGATATAAGGATGCTCTATTCGACAATATAAAGCAGTATAAACATGAGATAAATAATTTATATAAATACAATCAATTATATGCTTACCTTTTTAATATATTGAAGTCATTTCCTTTCATACACCCGTTCATTCTTTTTCTTCAACTGAGTTTAAAATGACTGAATCGATGTGTTCAGAGCAAACGTAACTTTTAAATAAAAATGGTGCGAATCTATCAAGTATTACCATCATTATTGAAATAAACTTTATTAATAAGACAATAAAGAGATAGAGTATTATATTGTATGCCTTAATCATCTAACTTTACTGCTCATCTGAATCAACTGACTCATCAATATCATATATCTCCTCGATTTTGTTTGTCACTTTCTCTCTGTCTCTGGCCAGATCCTCCCATTCTTCCACGCTTAGATCCCCAAATCTTTCAACATTTTGTCGAATTATATCGAACCAAGTGAATGATGGTCATCCTATCTTTCTATAATGCTTTTTATATTTAGCAGCTAGTTTCAGCAGATGATTATCCTCCATTCTGATAATATGGCTCCAAAATCTCATTTGAAGGGCTCGAATTTTTTTGGTCACGATTTTCCCTCGTAGAATATGATTCCCATTTGGCCTTTCTCCGTCCATAGTACAACAGCTCGCCAGTTCCGCTACTATTTGTCTCTCGTATTTTCCCATGGACGTGCGAGTGTGTTTGGTGATGACTGAAACTTGGGTTCCAAACGTCATTGTAGGAGAAATGATGGTGTCATACAGTAAGTTTCCAATCTCCACACTTGGCCTGTTCTCTTTCGCGAATGCAATAACAGCCTTAGAGGATTTAATGGCTTTATTGCTCAATTGTCCATCTCGGGGGTGCGTAGCAGATACGTACAAAGATTCCATTGATTTTGGCGATCACAAAACTTTCGTATGAGCCCGCCATCACTTGTTGAATGGAGTACCTGCCCATGACTTGTATGACCGTCATTCCCGCTCTATCCGCCACCCAGTTACCGTTAACGAGAGAGACTAGATATGGCTCTGCAATAATTGCAGCGTTGCACTTTGTTCCCGTTGTCGACTGCCACAGTAGTTGCTGTGATGTGTTGCAATCATTGAGGTTTATTTGGGTGACCTCCAATATTACTGGCCCACCGTCACCTTCTTGAACTCTGGGCACCTGAAACTTCCCGTTTCCGTCCTATTTTCTGCAGAGCACCTCGGTTGCTTCATACAGTCTTTTGCAACGTGCCCCTTCTCTCCTTTCCTCATTTCCTGCACAGATCAGATCCGTCAGGACCTTTGCAGTTTCTTGCCTGGTGACCGAAGCCCATGCACTGTCTTGAGCAGCTCGTTAGTTGCGTCCAAAGAAAGTCGTATCGACGTCGTCTACGTGCCACCATACGCCTTCCTCAACCGAATTGCCATCGGTACGTCTCCCACCTTCAGCGCATTTTTCAACTCGTCCTTCGTTGTGATCTCGTCCAGATCCCTGCACTCGACCACTGATTCCTGAGATAAGGCTCTTACGTTTGCCGTCTCGCCAAGAGATTTTTCGACGAGCTCCTTAAAAGCTGCGCTCTTAACCGTAGGATTCCTTTTCAGCTCAAATAGCATCTCACCTTTCTGGGTTCGCCTGGTTTTCACCACGTTCTCGCCTAGTTGTTTCAACTCCAGATCCTCTCTCACTTTCCGCAGGAATGCTGCGTAGAACGTTTTGTCCTTCTCTTCAACAACCAGAGCGCCACCCTTGCTTCTCTCCCTATGAGGCCTAGGCTTCTCCTTGTTCTTCCTGTCTTCCTTCTTCTTCTCTACTTTCTTCCTCGCTTCATCTTCCTTCTTCCTAACTTCATCTTCCTTCTCTTTTTTCTTCCTCTCCTTCTGGTTCTCGACTTTACGCCACCCACCATTTTCTCCCCTCTCCTTGATGATGATGATGATGATGATGATGATGGTCCCACCTCTTACCCCCATAAAGGTTTGAGCTGGACGATTTATCTTTAAGATAATTAAATATGACAATTTAACCAGTTTTGCAAACAAAATCGAACTGGTTACAGTTACAGAAAATTCCCTCTAGAGTTTACAGTTGATTCACAGCTCAGGCGTCCACCTCTTAGTTCGCCTTTTTGTCCACCTAAAATATTCATAGGTATTACAAGCAATCAAGAGTTAATGAACAATCAGCAAAGCATCCTATTACACTAGCAACCCCGCAATCTAATGCTATCATAATTTTCAGCAATGTCAGGAATGCTCACGAACCCCCAACATTTGCCAAAAAACTTACTACTGATGATGATGATGATGGTCCCACCTCTTACCCCTACAAAGGTTTGAGCTGGACGATTTATCTTTAAGATAATTAAATATGACATTTTAACCAGGTTGGCAAACAAAATCGAACTGGTTTCAGTTACAGATATAAATTCCCTCTAGAGTTTACAGTTGCTTCATAGCGATATAAATGTGGAAAAGCTCAGGCGTCCACCTCTTAGTTCGCCTTTTTGTCCACCTAAAATATTCATAAGTATTACAAGCAATCAAGAGTTAATGAACAATCAACAAAGCATCCTATTACACTAGTAACCCCGCAATCTGATGCTATCATAATTTTCAGCAATGTCAGGAATGCTCACGAACCCCCAACATTTGCCAGAAAACTTACTACTAACTCAAGGTATCTTCCAAATGAGCTTCAAAATTGCATTTTTTTTTTATCAAATGTTAAATTCAGTCTATATCCGCAATACGCGCGCGAGGCTCAAACCTTTGTAGACTACTATTTTTTTTAAATCTACTACTATTAAATTGAAAAAATCCCCATCGTGGCGAACAGAAATAGTTTTTGCAGTGCTACAATAATTATTAAAAAGTCGTTATGGCAGCTATCTACATAAAATAATCCGTTAGAGATAACTTCGTCAAGATACATAATTTGTCCATTCATAAAAAATCACTGGATAACTGTTCAAAAGACAGTTTTAACGTGTGAAATGCTGTTTCTTTTAAATTCTGTACGTTCTGAACGTTTGATATGTCTAGGCATCGAATTGAAAACATTTATTCCTTTATATTATAATGAATTTTGTGAAGCACAAGTCAAGAACTGTGGT